TAAACTCATTTGTCATTGCTGTCAATAAAAACCTGCATTATGTGGTGTTTGCACTTCCATAGAGTGAAATTAGTTTTGATTTAGGGTTTTGTGAGCATATTTCCTAGGCATTGTTTCCCCACTTTTTCAGGTTACTGGGCTATTTTCAACAGTGTCTTCTTCATATCACCTGCACTGAGAGGAATGTTTGCTTTGAGAGGAGACTTTGTCAGGAGTTGTACCTTGATAGAGTGGTGAGATTTTCAGTACGAGTCCCAGATGTGTTTAAGGTGAGGGTGGAATTACATCAGTGATTGACTCTGAGCTTCTTCTTGTTTGCAATAGTGGTGGGTAGGTTTACTGATGGGGTCAGGCTGGAGTCTCCATGAACTGATGTTTGCAAGCGACATTGTGAGAGCAGGGAGCAGGTGGATGTGTGCTCTGGAGAGAAGAGGTATAAAAGTCAGTAGAAGGAAGACAGAATACTTGTGAATGAGTGGGAGAAAGGTGTAACAACAGAGCTGCAGAAGTATAAGTAGTTAAGGTAGCTGTGTTATGTATGTGGTGCGTGCCATTCAAAACAACGGGCAATGCAGAGAGGTGAAGAAAATAATGCAGGCAGGTTGGTGTGTGTGAAGACCACTGTGAAGGGTGATTTGTGACAGAGGGATAGCATGAGGAGTGAATGTGAGACCTGCTATGGTTTGGTTTTACCGACACAAATTTGGCAAACAGTGTAATTTGTGAATATACATTTTAATGGCAGTCCCAGAGTGAAAAAAGAATATGACCAATAAAAGCCACGATCTATTTGAACTCTTAGATTATTCATTCATTCATCAGTTAGTTTTTTTATTTATTTAGTCTCCTGCAGAGTAAAAGCCAGTGACATGGCTACTGATAGTCTCACTTTTAACCACAAGAGAGCAGCACTTGACAGTTTTTCTATTGTAAAACTCTTCTGGTAGGATCAGCAGGACCGGCACCACAAATACAGGAAGCCTGGATCAGCTCTGTGGTTAAAAGGTTGCAATCTCTGATCCTATGGGTCTTACCCAGAAGGAAATGCACAATTCAGATGGAGCTGATGTGGGTGGGGGGACTCGCCCAGCTCTAAATACGTTGAAGTCGGCATGTCCTCCCTGCTTCCCCTGATGAGATAAGCAAAACCTGAGTAGCCTTGCAGGTCAAATCCTACCAGTCCCACCTGTTATGACAGCTCCCCTCTAGATTGGTGCACTTCTTAATAACATGGCCTGGACAGTATTTAAGGGGCTGGAGTAACCTGTAAAAGCTATTTGCACTAATAAGGATAGATACTCAGATTTTTACCTGCACTGCTTAACAAAAGTTTAAAAAGTGAATATCCACCATTTGGACCTATTACAGGATATTTTATTAAAGCAGTTTGGCAGGAAAAAAAGCTAAATGAAATGCAAATAAAACTAAATAATAATCAGTTAAATCACTTGAACTATGCTTATCCAATCAACCTACTCTGAGCTAATGCTGATTTTGTTTTGATTGTTTGAAGGAGAAAGGCACATCCAGGCCTAGAGATGCACTTATTTCTGTGTTCTGTGTTGACTGGGAATTCAAATGTTCTTGATTCTATAATCCAACATGACAAAAAATGAGTAGAGAAAAAGCCAAAAAAAACATACAAAACCAATTTGCAGGTTCACTGGTTGGGTTGCAGTTGATCCCTCTGGCATCTCCGCTGGAATTTACGACTGTGGACACCTTAGGTCAAATCTGCAGTACTGCAGGGTCACATTCAAACCTGTTTCATTTGCCCAAATCTGCCTGCAATGCTGTAGCAATTAGCACTGACATGGCATCTCAGATTTGAACAAGTCTAGGGGCAGCTCTGTTTGGAAAAAAA